CAAAGAGCCGTTTCTCCTGGAGCCTCTGTGCCAAATGAAACTGCTTGTGGCGCTTCGCTGCCTAGGTCAGCTGTTGCTTATCCAGAGTTGGCGCCAGTTTGAGTGGGAGGCCGGGAGGGGTGAAGGCAGAGGGGACGGAGAACGGAGGGCGGCAGGCATTTTCCTGGAGGGCCGCGCTGGGGCGCTGACCCGACTGCTTTCCTGCCCAGCCCGCCCCTTCCATTTTGGCCCCTCTTTCAGCCTTGTCTTGCCTTGCAGAGCTTGAAAAGTAAGAGGACAGTGGCTAGAAGATGTGGCAGTTGCCCCAGCTTACTCCTGGGAGCTGCTTTCATTCCGGGGCAACCACAGGTGAAGTTGGAGAATGTGGTAAGAGAAGGACGTGGCAGAATCCTTCAAGACGCTTGTCTTGACTGAATAGAGCTCCAAACAGAATGTCCTCGCAAGCAGACCTCAAAATCATACCTAGTGTTTAGGTATTGCTCTGTCCAGAACTTGTACATGTGCTGGGGGCTGCCAAGGCTCACGCCAGCCTCTGGCCCTCTGCGTGGTCCCTTCCTGGTCTTCTCCATTGTCCTTCTTTCCCTGGAGTCGTAACAAGGAGCAGCCTGGTACCTGCTGGTAATTTCAGCGTCTGTCTCTTTCTCCCCCTGAGTGGATTTGTGAGGGAGGCAGCAAGGAGGGGGAGAAGCTTTGGACGATTCACTTCCAAACCTCAGGAGGCTGCGTCCCCACTGCCTCTGATCTATTGGGTTCATTTATTCTTTTGTTTTCATTAAATCATGAAATATGCATGAATACACTCTTAATTGTGGGCCAGGTACTGAGCTTAATGGCTGAATGAATGAGACATGTGGTATCTGCCCTCTTAGAGCGTATAGTCATTCAGGGAAGACAAATATTAAACAAGGACGTGTTTTGTTCTCGAAGTCTTTAAGAGAATCTCTCAACACCTGAGCTGCCGTACAAGGGCAAAGGTGAACTGAGTTGGTGCGGAAGCTCCAGGGGAAGATTAGAATTACTCTGAAATGTGTGGTTCCTTGTCCCCTTCCCTTATCAATGGAAGATGTGACAGAAGGAGCCTTGGATGGGGAAGGGGTGGGGGCACAAGCCTCTGCCCCACTCGCGAGTGCTGTGACCCAAGCCCCTCGGTCCATGTCTCGGTTTCCCCATCTTCAAACAGCGACTCTGTCACATCCCTCACTCCCCCCATGCTTGTGAGCATCCGGCCAGTTTACTGTGAGAGCACGTTTAAAGATGCATGGACTCCATAGGATGCTGAATATTTTTCAAGAGCATCATTTGCAAGAGTGTGGCACTGCCTCTATCTGAGTCTGCTCCATGCTTCTACCTGCTCTGACAGTTTGTTAACGTCCCAGCTGAAAGTGCAATTTCCTTCCTTTGAGCGTCTGTAACGTTTCCAGCACTGCTCATTTA